GTCATCATTTCTGAGAAACGAATCATCAGAAAGCAAAAAACTAAATGGTTTCATATTCTGTACCGTATGTAACAACAACAAGTTGGTATCATATTTCTGCAGTGAGACCCCCTAAAAAATTATCTTGTAAGCCACTGAACCCTACTATAATATCAAAAGTTAAATGAAATCGTAGGCTTCCACGGCCAGAGTCAGAATTATAGTTTATTCGTCTTCCGGGTTTGGACCGTGTCATTTGTGAGTGACCCAAAAGTGGGTTCATCTCGACGTTTCGCTACAATTATATGTAGCTTCTTCAGGAGAAACAAAGAAAAAGAAAAAAGAAAACAAAAGAACAGGAAGATGGGTAGTTAGCAACGGTAACTCAGTTACTCAACGCAACCAGAGGCGAATACTAACTACCAAGATGGGCATTTGGTCACAGTAACTCAACTACTCAACGCAGCCAGAGGTGAAAACCAAATGCCAGGACAGGGATTCACGTCCAACAGCTCAGAACACTAACGCGTCGAGAGGCGGGGAGTGAATCCTCCCCGTGAAGTGAATCCGGATTCACTCCCCGCCTCTCGACGCGTTAGTGTTCTGAGCTGTTGGACGTGAATCCCTGTCCTGGCATTTGGTTTTCACCTCTGGCTGCGTTGAGTAGTTGAGTTACTGTGACCAAATGCCCATCTTGGTAGTTAGTATTCGCCTCTGGTTGCGTTGAGTAACTGAGTTACCGTTGCTAACTACCCATCTTCCTGTTCTTTTGTTTTCTTTTTTCTTTTTCTTTGTTTCTCCTGAAGAAGCTACATATAATTGTAGCGAAACGTCGAGATGAACCCACTTTTGGGTCACTCACAAATGACACGGTCCAAACCCGGAAGACGAATAAACTATAATATCAAAAGTTCTAATAGTTTTTTAAAACTTTTCCTAATAAAGAAGATATACAGGGTGGGCCGCCGGTAACGCCTCGGTCTGTACAGCCGAAACAAATTTTATTTTCAAAAATTCATTTTCATTACGAGACCTATATCCAAAAAAGCTACTTTTTAAAAATAATTTAAATTATACAGGGTTCTCCAGGAAAGTGCTACACACCAAAGTTATGTTTTTTTAAATGGGACACCCTGTATTTTTTTTTTGAATTCTCCAGCATTTTTGAATTCTAAGAACAAAATAAGTGTCACTTTGTTAAAGGTTTGTTATACCTAGAGTCTACCGTTTTTGATATATCCAAGTATTTTTAAAAATAAGGAATGTTTAAAACATGCCAATAGCTCCTAAATTTCCTAATATTTAAAATTAATTTTTTTATGGAAGATTAAGAATTAATTGTACTCTAAAATCAAATAATTACTATTCAAAAATATTTTACAGGGTGTTTGCGAATTAGATATTTATTAGTGGCACTTTTAAACATTAAAAACTGCTCTATTTTAAATGTGACACCCAGTATATTTTTTTAATTTTATGAAAGATATTTCAAATACCTTTAAAAAAATATAAATATTCCCTATACCCATATTCGACAGTTTTGGATAAAAAACCAAAGTTCTGTGATAGCTATACTTTATAACAAATAAGTAAATTTCTTTAACCAAGATAGCTATGGACTGTCAGTTTACAAACTGTTGTACTATTTTATATTACATACTTAGTTTTAGACATTTAGAATTGTATACAAAACGTACTCCTCATAACAAATAATTAGTCAACTAACTGTCAGTTTACACACTAGTGTGCTATTTTATATTACATATTTTTATTTAGTTTATTTTGATATAAAAAAAATTAAGCAATATTCCATTCAAGAACGGGTGGATAGGATTCTCACCATAGGTGAATGTAACGAAAACTGGTTTTTAGCGGCAAGGGTTTATGCCCAGAAGTACCCAAATAGGGATCGGCCAGATAAGAGAACGAATTTTAGATCGGTTTCGTACAATAGGTAGTGTTGCATATTCAAAACAAACTCCGAATAAACCTGTCATTGACAATGAAGAAAACGAATTTAATGTATTAGCTTCAATAGCAGAGGATGCTAACACTAGCGGTAGAAAAATTTCAAATCAAATAGACATAGCCAGAACCAGTCTAAGGAGAATTCTCAAGAAACACCGACTCCGCCCATACCATATTGAATTCCATCAACATTTATATGGAACCTATTTTCAACAACGCCTAGATTTTAGTTTATGGGCACTAGAAGAGGTAGGACAAAACATAGATTTTTTCGATTTTGTTTTATTTACAGACGAGTGTAAATTTTTTACATTTACAATTAGATGTTGCTCCGGCTCATTTTGCGCGCAATGTGAGAGATTACTTAGACCTTAAATTTCCCAATAAATTGATAGGAAGAGGAGGACCATGTCACTGGCCACCTAGATCACCATGTTTAAATCCACTGGATTTTTTCCTATGGGGTTACATTAAAAATCTTGTATTCAGCACCCCTCCCACCACAGTTGAAGATATGAAGCAAAGAATTAAGAATGCTTTTGAAGCAATTACTCCGGATATGTTAAGAAGAGTACAACGTTCTTTTCAACGGAGAATTTCACTGTGTATTCAAACAGATGGTCATCATTTTGAAATTTATTAGACTAAGAACATCTTTGTATTAATATTACTGATCTTTCTTCCTTCTTCCTGTTTGCCTTTGTCTGCTAGTAAGCCAGCTTTTATTATTTTTCTTTTTTTTTTTTATTTTTGTGATAGTAAATTCAAAAATAGTTTCTTGTTATTTTAATATTCAATCCCATAACTCTTCAGTAATATTTTTTATTTTAAGATTTAAGATTTAATTTGAGATTTTTTTTATTTTATTTAATATTTTGGTAACTTACTCCAGATATAATTTTATTATTGTTAAGCCTGATGATGGCATAGTCCGAAACTAGCAGCCTACACTTTTTGTTAAGTACCATTAAATTTATGTGGATTGATTTTTTGTTTTTTTTTTTAATTATAATTTATTTTTTATGAAAATTTGTGAAAATTTAGTTTTAAATAACAATTTTGGTTTTATATCCAAAACTTTCGAATATGGGTATAGGGAATATTTATATGTTTTGAAAGGTATTTGAAATATCTTTTATAAAATTAAAAAATATACTGGGTGTCACATTTAAAATAGAGCAGTTTTTAATGTTTAAATGTGCCACTAATAAATATCTAATTCGCAAACACCCTGTAAAATATTTTTGAATAGTAAGTATTTGATTTTAGAGTACAATTAATTCTTAATCTTAAATAAAAAAAATTAATTTTAAATATTAGGAAATTTAGGAGTTATTGGCATGTTTTAAACATCCCTTATTTTTAAAAATACTTGGATATATCAAAAACGGTAGACTCTAAGTATAACAAACCTTTAACAAAGTGATACTTATTTTGTTCTTAGAATTCAAAAATTCAATAAAATACAGGGTATCTCATTTAAAAAAACATAACTTTGATGTGTAGCACTTTCCTGGAGCACCCTGTATAATTGAAATTATTTTTAAAAAGTAGCCTTTTTGGATCTAGGCCTCGTAGCGTAAACCGATTTTTGAAAATAGTACTTGTTTCGGCTGTACAGACGGCGGCCCACCCTGTATAACCCTGTCGTTTTTGACATTTTCAATAATCGCCCTGTATCTCGCTAATGTGGAGAGCGATTGATGATTTAATTAGATACTTGTTACTTTGACGAAAAAAGAAGTCATGACATCTTAACTAATTTTTTTCTACTTCCTCTAGTGTTTGGTATACCTTGTAAAACATACCAATTTGGGACACCCTGTACAGTAGATTCTCAAAGTATAAAATATATACAGACGAGATGTCCGATTATAATACCTGAGAAATAATAATGTTAAGATCAAAACAATAATTTAAATTTTAATTACACTTTAAATCATATTTTGTGAGGTAAACATAAAATAGATAATATACGAGTATTATACATAGCAAAGTTTATGTCCTATCCACAAAAAATAATATAGTGCACCGATAATAACCACAAATGTTACTAGATGCAAGGTCATAAATAATAAAACTATTACAACATAAATAGATATTATGTAGGAAGCATAGGTATAATAAAATACCGTCGAAAATAAGTGTAACATGATCTAGACTACTAACATAATAGTTGTGTTTTGTACCTTTAAAAACTCTTTAATTAAATTACTATTGCCAAGTTATTTATTAAGAGTATCATGTGGTCTGGTAAGTAGCCTCATTTGAAATGAAAAACAAGTTTTTCCAGAAAATTCTTTTATTTTACTCGACATAGTCGTCTCCTAGCTCAATACAATAATTCCAGCGATTTTCCAACTTGTTTATGCCGTTCGAATAATACGTTTCTGCAAGATATGCAAAATAGACGTTTGTTTTGTCAATTATCTTTTCGTTCCAGCCGATTTTTTTATTTACGAGCTATCTTTTCAGATTTGGGAACACATAATAATCGAAGGGTGCCAAATCAGGAGAATAAACCAGATGAGAAAGTTATTCCAAGCCCAACTTATTAATTTTTGCCATTGTCATAACGCTCTTGTGAACCGGTCTTCAGGGCCCTTAAGCTAGCAGGGCACATGAACAGAATCCAATTTAAGTTTTTAACGCATTATATGCATTACTGCAGTCCCTATTATATTAGAATTCCACTTGTAAGTACTTATATCACAATCGAGTTTGTGAAATTACCTATTCTTCACTATTTATAGTATACATTGTTATTTACGAAATTTTTACGGTCTTATTAATTTTTAAACGCTCAAGTAATGTTTATTTTTATTAGTAATGAATATATTAAGCAGTTAAAACAAAAATCAATATTTAGCAAGCATTACCATATCAAAATATACGTACTTATACATTTTGCATTCATCTACATTACTGTCGATCTACTGAAGGCATGCGAAAATAAAAATAAGCAAAGCTTTACAAGGATCATGCTTTAGTCTTCATACCATTATAGCATAAGGAATGAACAATAAAGAATATTGAGAAACAAATATACATACATTTCGTAGCCTGATTGGATCTGCCCTTATTGACATTGAAAGTGGTGGTAGTTGTGATGGGTACACGTGAAGAAGGATGAAAGGAATTATCGGTTATGGTACTACTGATTGTTGTAGTAGTGGAAGTTGTCGAAAGAGGTGCTACCGCAGCAGGCGGGGGATGATCGGTGAGGGGTAATGATTGAGTGCGTTGGTGGCTGATTGTTGTTCCCGGACTACCTACGCCCCCACCTGTTACCAAAATAAAGGTTTTATTTTTTTGGGGTACGATACGTTACACAGTTTAAGAAAAAATCTTAATCTCAAAAATTTTAATTCACATTTTCGATTTACTTTTTTTTGGTTCGTAATGAGACACTGAGATTTCAAATGCTGTAAAAAAACTTAGTTATAACATAAGCTATAGATGTGATAAAATTAATATTTGGTTATTCATTTATCAAAAATCTAAGCACTTCAATCGAGTGTCATCTTCGGTGCTACCCTTACACACAAGTATGTACTCCCCTTATGTAAAGTTTGGGAGGTTATTGATTTTATTCAATATGTATCAACTAAGATAAATATGTACTCTATAACTTTTATTCAAATAAGAAACATATTTACTTAGTGCCGAGATCAGTTCACATTCGAAGAACCATGTGTCAATGACTTAAGCTTACTGAAAAACTCAGGTATACTGTCCTTCGACCCAACAGATAATGCAAACTATTTGCAGTTTTCGTTTTAGTTTAGTCAAGTTGCACGACCAATGTAAATTGCAAAAAATAAAAAATCACTCGTCTGTATTGAAGTGAACGTTGAAATACTAAAGTTTCTGGGAAAAAATGGCACTAAAGGGTGATCTCTTTAAGAGAATTTTGTTACAATACCAAAGAAATATCGTATAACGACAGTGATAACAAGTTTGATCTTTTTGATCATTTGATTTGATATTTGAAGACTTATAAAAGCAAATAATTGCATTCTACACTGGCATCAAGTGACAAAAATAAGAAAACAAGAACTATCCGATGTAATAAATATAAAAACAGAAGAGAAACAAGGCTGTATACTCTCACCTCTACTCGTAGACTTATATTCAAGAGAGATATTTAAGAAAACCTTAATGGCTAACTGCAATGAGGACTGCAGATTGGAGAAACTCGTGTATCTTGGCAGTAATATTAATAAAAACTCGAATCCAACCGTAGAAATTAAAGGCTGAATTTAATGGGTCGGGAGAACGTTTGGAAAAATGAGCAACGTCCTTTGCTGACACGATCTTGGTATTGACTTTTTAATTAGAATGACATTTTTCATCTTTTTCCAGTTCTATTATATGGATTAGAAGGAAGTAAGAACTACTTAAACGACTACTAAAGATAAGTTGGGTCGACAACAGATGTTTTTGTTCTTCTGACTAAGATATTTAAAGTCTTCTTCTCCAACACCATATCTGAAATGGATGTATTGGAAAAACAAGTGTTCGCACTATAATGATGTTTCTGTTGTTTATGTGTGCTTTTCCGCATTTTGCTGAGGTTCTACAGCAGTTCTACCCATGTATACCTATACGTCGTTGAATTTCCTATTCTTACGAAATGCATGAAATACCAAAAAGGATGATAAAAGAATGATGAAATTTGAAAAACCCGAAGTACAATCCCACATTCTCAACTGGAAAATTTTTGGAACCGACTAACGCTGTGTATTAACAAATGCTTTCAAATCCAACAATACTAACTTTGAAACATACAATGACTAAGGTTAGTCTTCTAAAACATCTAAGAAATATACAAATCAATAAAAGACCAGGATCCAATAACCAATTATAAAGTTCAATTTACATTGGTGTGGTAATTCACAAATAGGAATAACTCCAAATTGAATAAACCTACCCGGAGCTGGGAAAATTAGTTTTCTGAAGATTCTGTGACCATAACGATACAATTTTTTCCAGTCACAATCAACAGTCCTGTTAGTCTGTTTATAAGACATACACCATACAACTCAACCAGATGATCTCACATATTTCACAGAAACCCGAAACACAATGAACAATAATCAACAAATATCATTAAACTTCTATCTTCCTACTGACGAAATAGGTCAGGGAAGTAATGATTTTCCAAAGACAGTCTTTGATACGGGTATCTAACAACTGCTTTTGAAAAATTTGGTGATAATTACATAGAAAAGTGACACTATTTTACTTAAAAAGCATTGAACATCCTTTAAAATGAGAGTTTTTAAACTTATTTTTGTTAATATGTTGCTGAATTATTGGAAAAAAAGCTTCAAAAGTCAATTTTTAAAAAATTATGAATAACCTTTTTAAAAATACGCAAAAAACTTTAATTTCGAGTGAGAATAGGGACAATACCACAAGCATTTAGCTATAAAAATTTCACGTAATAGTTATTACAAAATTTTCTGAAAAATGCGTAAGAAGGGTATTGTGCACATTTTGTAACTATATTTTTATGGCGCAAACATACACACACCTACGTAGAAAACTAGTCATTTGTTTATTACAGTATTGTTGATTTTTAAATAGAAAATTTTTCATTCTATTCTAATACGATACAATATTACTTGCGTTAAAACAGAAAAACAATTCTAATGAAATATGTCAACTAATCGGGTTTTTCCATTACGAATGTTGAACATGTTATGCTGTGTTGGTTGGGAAGAACCACAAAATATGAGGGTTACGAAATGGTACGAAAAATACAACCGCTACGCTAATTAATTGTTAATTTCTGTCATTAATTTAATAAAAAAACACTAACAGCAGACCAAATTTTTGTTGTAGATTTTGCACATTATGTATTAAGTGGTCAGCATTATCGAATTGCTGTTTTATTTTTTTCTTTTTAGCTTCAACTAATATTCATCGTTTGAAATAAGGCGAAATATACGAACAATATCACAAAAACTGGATGCCGCTTTTGGATAATAACATTATCACATATTCTACAGTTCCATGAAATGAATTTAAATACAATTGTCATAAACCTAGCTGAGAAGAGTGGAAAACTACGCCAGGAAGTTTCCTTAAGGTGCTAGTACACTACGTGTCTCAAAGCAACATTTTTTTTATCTTCTCTCTGTGAAAGGCTCGGTGGAAACACAAAATTTGTTTATATTTTCACATAAATCACATATATAGCAACATATTCTATAACTTACAAATTGCATTTCCATAAAAATTCGTTTGGTTTAGTACCGATGGCCATATTTTAATTTCACAGAAGCTAACTGCCAGGGATATTGTCTACGGACTATGACAATTTCATCGAGATCGGGTGATTAGACCAGATTTTCTTTCATTCTCACTGAGCTCTGCTTAAATGGCACACACACAACAGTAAATAATTCTTTATCAAGTAAAAATTTCATTGGCATCATTGTAACACTCGTTCTTACAACTTCTGCTACATTATCTTTCATTTCACTATCAGGAATTACCATTCCTAGTGTTACTTTTCCCTTCTTCTTCAGCCTGTGTTCGTCCACTGCTGGACATAGGCCTCTTCCATTTGCTTCCATCGATTTCTACTTTTGGCAATTCTCATCCACTGCTTGCCCGCGACTTGTTTGATATCGTCTGTCCACCTCTTCTGCGGTCTGCCTACTCCTCGCCTGTTCTCTCTTGGTCTCCAGTTTGTTAATCTTTGTGTCCATTTTTCGGGATTATCTCGGGCAACGTGTCCGACTCATTGCCACTTGAGCCTTGCAATATGTTCTGAGACATCAGTAATTTTTGTTCTTTCACGAATGACGTTATTTCGAATCCTGTCTCTCAAACTAATCCCTAGCATGGCCATCTCCATTGCTCTTTGGGTTGTACTGAGCTGCTCTAAGGTTTTCTTTGTGAAGGCCATGGTCTCCAGTCCATATGTAGTTACAGGCAAGATACATTTGTCATAAACTCTACGTTTTAGACACATTGGTATATCTTTATTCTTCAAAATAAAACTTAATTTGCCGAAAGCTCCCCAATTATACTTTTCCCTACATAACACAATTTGTATTCTTCACCTAGTTATTTCTCCGTGTCTTTTCCACATAGTCTTTTGAATGCAAGCAATTTGTAGTCTCTTTCTTTCAAGCACATCTACTAACTTCAAAATTTTACCTGTAAGACCTGTAAGAATTTAAGATCCTATCTATTTTTCTAACTTGTAATGGTGTTCACCTGTAAATCTGAAATAGTCCTCACCTAGAAATCCGAACGGAGGCTCAGTTTGCTTCCGGAACATTTAACTTCAGGAGATGCATTTCAGTATAACTGTCTTTACATTTTCGTCCGGAAAACATTTTTGGGACGTTTGATGTCTGAATCCCTTTACTATCAGCACCATGTCTTGCACAATTTAGCCTTTCACACACCCATGTAAGCAAAGCGTAGTACTACCACAACCCGCTTGCATATTTCTGTATAGGCCATGACCCCTACCGTAATACAGTCAATGTATTTTTATCATCATTATTGGAAAATTGAATCTTTTAATATGAAGGCAAAAAGGATAATCCCATGGAAAAGTGCAAAAAGTAAACTAATTTTTCCTATTTCTTTTCGGAAAAACTGGTAATCCATTCTCTCACGGTGAAATATTGCAAAACTTCCGATTTCTACATAAAAATTTCGCACCGATTGGTTAAAAATCCATAAGTGAGCTGGTCTCATCTCTCTCTCTTCAAAATTTATATGCTTAAAAAGTGCGCTTGTTATTTATAATAGGTGAAAACTACCCCTTTTGATACATTAAAAACTGAGACTATGACATGGAGCTATAGACAAAAGTATTTATAGGACTCACCAAACTAAAAAGTATTTAATCAGCTGGTGTTCGATGTGTCTAAAATTGCGTTGCATTACCCTGTCTATACTCTATATCTTGACTTTTTATTTTTAATGGTAAAAAGTCCTTACACGTGAGAATCTTAAAATGTTTAGAGGTAATGGATTTTGGGAACAGCTATGACCTTGAAAATGCCACAAAGAATATAACTAAATATCTCTTTTCTTACTCAGACTCTTTAAAGTCTTTTACAATATTTTAGAATCGAAGATATGTAATTATATTATTATTGTATTGGATTTTGACAAGAGCTATGCATTATGCCTATTTAGTACAGAAGTTTATGTGAAATGTTCAAGGTCATAGCTGTTCCCAAAATCCATTACCTCTAATTTATTTTATTAATGGCCATCCCTTAATGGACAGACAAGAACACAAATTTTCAAAAATAAATTATATATGTCAAAACACACAAAAAAATGTATAAATGATTATGGTAATGGTTCGTTTAGAGAATGTATGCATCTTTTGATATGCAGAGATCCTCTATACTATACTCCGTGGCTTTACACAAAACGTATGCTAAAATACAATTTTCTGGATGGAGTAACTCCATCATTACTTTCGGTAACCCTTGTAGAACCTATCAATAGTATAATGTTCCCTACATTATGTTGCCAATTTCTTTATCCGAATTAATATCAGTGGTATTTTGTAATTGAACGAAATTACAAAAAAAAAAACGATAACGAAAAAAAAATTCAGAAATCATAAAGGATCAAGGAAAAGTCTCCAATGCACTGAATGAATCACACGAAAAATTGATTTCATTGGTCATGGTCATGCATTTCGCAAATTTCTTCTAGCAATGTGTAACCTTCGTGTATTAAATGAAATGAAGATATGAGTGGAAATTTCTGATCTATATATCCTAAGTATGACAATGACAATTTGATGTCTTTTGATTTGATGAAAGTCTTTTGGCCTGTCCTTAAGGATAGCAGTTGAGTCGAGAGAGTTAATTTAAATGCATTAGTAAGCTGCAATCTACTTTTCAAATCAGTTTGCATAGATATTGTTAGTTATATATTTTGTGAACCAAATATTTTTGTTGGAATAATAAAATATGGGCAAATATTTTAATATTTACATTGAACACTTAATTAGTAAACAAGCAGTCTAACAAACAACGATGACTTTAATCTTAAACATAACAATTCGACAAAGCATAACAATGACGAAACAATTATTATAAAAAACGTACTGGTGGGCAAGTATTGTTAACTAAAATAGGGAAAACACGTCTACGGGTATAAATGTTAAATCTATAGGAGAGAAAAATATTGGAAGATATCTGGAGAACAAGAACCAGTGAGAGTGCGTTGAATTTACAAAAAATACAGGAACTCATAAATCTGATTGTAGGGGCACCTAGAAAATACATCGTAAATAAAATGAAAGCCCTTAGAATTCGACCTCTGTAAATTTCTGTAGGATCTGACCTAAACTACAAAAGTTGTATAACGAAAAGAAAAGATAAAACAGGAAATTGTCTCTCAAGCCTTACACCTTGACAACCTGTAACTCTCTCTCCCTCCAATGGCGCTACAGCCCAAGTCGGACCATGACCTCACCAAACATATCTTTCCTCGGCTGGTCTCCTCCAGTTATCAACCATTATTATTTCTCTAACATCGGTTCTCACTTCGTCTATCCACCTCTTCCTTGGTTCTTCCTACTGGGCGACGTCCCACCATAGTTCAACTAAGCGTTTTACTATAGGTGTTCTGAATACGGTCAACTGCCTAGCGTAATCTATGTCGTTTTACATATTTTGCTAGAAGATTCTTTGTAATATTGATATAACTCGTGGTTGAACCTTATTCTCCATATACCATTGTCGAAAATGGGTCCCAATATCCTTCAAATCTTTGTTTCAAAAATATTAATAAGGTTTACTGTTTTTTGTAATGATCCATGTTTCTGCACTATCGATATTAGTGGTGGATCATGCCCATAACTGACGTAAGAACAAACAAAAATAGACAGATCAAATAGAAACTTTCGTTTTGGTAAGGACTACTATTCGAAAAATAAAACTAAACCATTCAAAACCTAGCGTCATAAATAAGATTGATTTATTAATTTCATTTCGGAGATAATTATAATTTGTATTCATGACTTATAACCATTGTATTTACCAAAATTTAGTACATTTACGTTACTTCTATTAGAGACCAATGTTTTTGATCTTTTTTTTTAACGTGTAAACCGCAAAACATTTTTGGAGATTCTATTTTCGGAAGAACAGACAACACTTTATTGCAGGACAAAAATTCAGATATTTATCCAATGCCGCGCAATGAAATTGAGAAAAATTTTATATCTCTACTTAAATTTCATCTTGAAATGTGCAAAAGAATATCAAGATACTTACTTTGAGTTGTAAAAACAGGAGGAGCAGTAGTGGTTTTAGGAACACCGGAAACAATTTGTTTCCTGTAGCTATTATTCGTTGGTTTTGAGGATTCTGTAGCTGAGGACGACCTAACACGCATTTCATCATGTTTGTTGTTGGTCGACATGGCACTAAAAACAAAAAAATAATTCATTTGTAGTACATCTTTATTGATTCACCCAATAAATTACTAATATAAGCTGTAATGCTCGTGTTGGATCTTGAAATTTTCCGTTAGTGATCACATCTATTGGAGATTTTAAGAATATATCAAGACAATTATGTGGCAAATAAGAACGAGATAAAAGGGAGGGAGGAAAATGTTATAGAGAAATAGAGATATTCTTCTTCTCCTAGCGGAGGGAAATCATCATCGCTATTTTAACTTTGTTGGCCGCATTTCTGAATAATTCTAATGAGCTGCAACCGAACCACTCTCTCAAATTTCTTAGCCAGGACATTTTGCGTCGTCCTGGGTTTCTCTTCCCTTGCATAATCAACCTCAGTAATACGTACTTCTCACCCCTCATTAAATGTCCCAGATATTGAATCTTTCTAATTTTAACAGTTTTTATGACTTCACATTCTTTCTTCATTCTTTGTAACACCTCTATATTAGTTACTTTTTCAATCCACGATATTTTATGCATTCTCCTGTAGCACCACATCTCAAAGGAGTTTAATTTTTTGATTTCAGACTGCTTTATTGTCCACGCTTCCATGCCATATAGTAAAGTAGAGAAGACGTAACAACGTAGCATTCTTGTGCGAATCTCTAGATTAAGGTTACGATTGCAAAGTAATTTCTTCAATTTTATGAACGTGTTTCTTGCCATTTCTATTCTAGATCTAATCTCCATCTTCGGTTAGCCACGTTCCTAAATATTTATATGTTTTTACTCTTTCTATCGTTGTATTATTGATGATCAGGTTATTTACATTTTGTGGTTTTTTTGAGAATATCATTGATTTCGTTTTCTTGAGATTCATTTGCAGTCCGTAACTTTCACATGCATTGTATACATGTTGTATTATGTACTGTAGATCTTCCATGTCACTTGCAAATATGACAGTATCGTCGGCATATCTAATATTATTAATGCTATTTCCGTTGACATAAATACCTTCCACGATATCCAATAAAGCCTCTTGAAAAATCACTTCACTGTAGACGTTGAATAAGAGTGGTGAAAGGATACACCCTTGTCGAACTCCTCTAAGTATACTTACTTCCTCTGTCAGTTCTCCTTCGACTCTTACTCTTGCTTTCTGGTTTTGATACAGATTCGATATAATTTGTAGATCTCTACTATCAATTTTTAGTCTTAAGAATACTTAAAAGCTTCTCATGTTGAACTCTATCAAAAGCTTTCTTGAAATCTATAAAGCAAGCATATATGTCCTGATTCATATCCAGGCATCGTTGTGTCAGAACATGGACTCCAAAATAGAGATATTAAAGGACTACAACTAATCTCTTTTTTAATAGGATTAAATTTACTCCGTTATGTTTAGTCCTCTTCTAAGCTCTTACTGCTACCCTAAACTCAAATTTTAGTACCATCTTTAATATCATCAATATATCAATCATATCATCATCAACGTAACATCTCCAACTACATGCAGTTTTTAGATTATCGATGCACATCTTTTCACTTTTTTTAAACGAAAGTAAAACAAAATTATTGCTGAAGCGGTTTAATAATACTCTAATTGAAGAGCTGAATATTATCATATCTTTTCACTTCTCATTCGCATCACACGTGTCAAACTATATTAATTTTTATGTTAAGTATTTGGCAAAGTAAAAGTAAATTGGAAAATCGAAGAGATGGCAAAGAAAGATAGAATCGTACATACATAAATATGTCATAGAGAAAGCGCAAGAACTAGAAAATAAAGGAGAAAAGTTAAAGTAGGGTATAAGAAAACATACTCGGATTATGATATATGGCGCTTGGAACACAATAAACTAAAAAAGTTTTATTAAAAAACCTTTATAAAGGGTATGTATTTAAAAACCCCAACGGGCTAATTATACAAAACGTTTTCGGAATCCATATTCCATCATCAGTTTCTAGGAGTACATGAATGATGACATATGGAACCTAGACACTGATGATGGAATATGGATTCTGAAAACGTTTTGTATAAGTAGCACGTTGGGCTTTTTAAATATACAGTATTGGAAGATTTAAAACGGAACATACGGATTATTAATACAATTAGTAAGATCCCCTGACCTGCAATTACCCAGTGTAAATTTCAATATAACATCGCGATGTCTTATAATTAATTCATTTGTTCGACTGGATTGCTACTCCTTCGCGATTTCTAGTAGCGTATTCGGCAGGTGTACGTCGACACTGTTGTCTATCGTTCACTGATTTTCTGTGTTTTTGTGCAGATAATAACAATGTTTTATTAATAACAATTTTTTTGTGTTCATTAGATATTATTTGAATTGGTTAGTGTATAGTTTAATATATTTATTATTCCAAATATTGTTGATAATTTAAAATTTAAAAGGATGTATATGATACATCAAAATCTACAGATTTTTGCCGAAGGTATCTACCCATTTGGCAACAGTCCCAAGGAACATCACTGGCCGAGCAAAACAAATACATGCCCTTTGCTTTGTGTTTGGTAAGGTACGCACGTGCGCAGCAGTCGAAAAATATCGACTTGAGAAGGAGTTCAGTCGAACAAATGAATTAAGTATAAGACATCGCGACGTTATATTGAAATTTACACTGGGTAATTGCAGGTCAGGGGATCTTACTAATTGTATTAATAATCTGTATGTTCCGTTTTAAATCTTCCAATACTGTATACCTTTTATAAAGGTTTTTTAATAAAAAATTTTTAATATATGGTGTACAGCCAACTACAGAAACCTTTGTGGATTCTTGTGGATTCCTTGTGCAGATTCCTTGTGGAACAATAAACTAACTTTGGTGGTAGAGACCAAATCAAAGAACTAAGCACCACCAGATCAAGGAAACAAATGGCAACGAACAATGACGAAGAAGGACAAGACATAGTTAGCAAAATGGAATGAAGGTGCAGAATGAGAAACCTTTTTTATGAAGGTACGAAAAAGGAACTAATCAATGATGCAAGGAAGTATCAAATCAATTTAATGACTCTGCAAGGAACAAAACAATTAGGGTAGGAAATAATTGAAACTGAAGGTATGGTGCTTTTTAAAAGTGGAGGAAAAGGCAGAATGCTCGAAGCTGGTTCTTTGATAGCTAAATGTATCAAGCACAAAGTGGACTTTTTAATCCTTTCTCTGATAGGATGTGTTCAATACGAATTAAAAGTAATAAAAGGAACTGGAGTACAATCAATATCCATGCACCATCTGAAAAAAGGACTACGAAATAAAGGATCTTTACTAGAAACAGCTAAATGGCCAATACGAATGCTTACCTAAACGGGATGTGAAAGTAATAATGGATGATTGTACTGTTGAAGTCCTACCGAAAAAGTAATGAAAACATGTAGAGATGTTTCGAAAGAAAATTACTAAGTCAAATCTATGCAGCGATGAACAACAATGGAGTGCTGAGAAGACGATACAACTTCGAATTATATAGAATATACTAGGAACCAGATATCGTAAAATATACTAAGATAGAACTTGTTGGGTGGGTAGAGAAAAGAGAAGAATTAGGCAGTTTAAGAGGCCAGATGAATTCAAAATACGTTTCTAGACAGGTTGAACTCCGAGTATATAAAATAGTTGTGTAGAAGTTGCAAAGGATCAGATGGTTGGGACATGTAGAAGTAAGAGCAGTTAAAAAATAGAAGTACTTATGCTTAAGGTTGAGTTTTGATTAAAATAATCGTAATTAGTTACATTCTTATGATTATATTAAAAAAATGCCCCAAAAATGGCCTGTTGTGCGTATCAATAAATCAGGTAACTACAGTGTTGCCACATTCCGAACTTAAAACAGCACCGCCATTTTATTTTCTGCATCATATGCTCCAGATACACAGTAAATGAGAAAACAAATTGTTCTCATCACAATAACAATCAACAATGCAGAGAAAAATAAATACATTTGTTAAACTTAAGAACAGGAGTAGTCAATTGTAATTAAACGTCCAAATAAATAATCTTCTGCAAACGTTTTAATGCCAACTTCTGTCTGTTAATAAACATTTTTATTTTGTGTAGGGTTTGAAATAAAAAAACAAACTTACTGGAAAATGGTAGTGTGAATATTTTGAGCAATTGTAGTATCCTCTGATTCCATCCATAGTTCTCCGGCTCCTAGCTGACTAGATCTGCCTATCTAAAAATAAAAAATATATTGAAGCGAAGCTTCTATACTAGCGTTGTATTACTTTTTTTTCTACAGTAAAATGTTGAGGCGAGCGTCACGGAACTAACGCCACGAGATGGCGTCGTCACGGATAGCGTCGTAGAATAGCGGTTCTTGACATACTAATCTCGATCAATTCGTTTATAGTCATCATATTTTTAATTTCGATTCGTAACGATTGTTAAAAATTTAATAAAAGTTATAAATGTCATCCGATTAATAACAACATTGAATCATCCGTTTAAATTTTTATAATTCTCGTTGTAATTATTTTTAAACATATTATTTAGTTTATGTAGCAATTAAATTTACTATCTAATGATATTTAGTTGTATTTTATTATTAATATTTGGTCTGAATTAGACAGGTTTGCCATAAGTAAACAGCACATGCTTTGTTAATACGTTAACAGGTGGCGTTAGGAGCAAACATAATTTATTGAATTACTATGATACTTCGCGCTAGTCTACAGTACCGCCTACTGTTAAACTTTTTTTTTAATATATATTCTGGATAAAGTAACAAAAACACTATTCAAATTATGTCTGCATTTGACCGAAAATGACAAGATTTCTACAAGAAGACTCAAACAAACATGTACAAATATAAAAACAGGTTTAGCAATATTAGAGATCAAATGAAAATGTTTTCTTTTATTATGCTGTTCCATAAGTATGTCCCTTGTGGTTAGAACTGTCTATTATGTCTGCGAGCTCGTAAAAAAATGCGAAATAAAACAGGTTTCTTAAAGCAAATCAGAAGTGGTTACTCATTGCATCTTTTTATTAGACTGGTTACTAAAAAAGTCTTTGGAAAAACAGTAAAAAGCGAGTCCAAATTTTTCCTTGTGCTTTGTGTGTTTATTACCGCTATAAATATGATATCAACTCTTGGTTTATAGAAGCGGATGGGAGCTATGGTTCTGGAGTTTTCAAGATCAATTTTGTGACCTGTATGAAGATGGTGTTGACCTAGAGCTGAAATTGAATCGTAATTGCGAACAGAAATGGAATGTTCACAAATCCTATTTTGGATTCTACGATTTGTTTGGCCTATATAGGATCGGGGACAGTCTGCACAAGGAATTTCATAAACTCCGTGTTGTTCATTTGGAATGTTGTCTTTGATTGAACGGACAAGAGATTAAATTTTTGTTGGGTAAATATTGTCTTTATTGCTTTTGATTTAAGATATTTGTCGATATTGTCAGTGACAACTTTGACATAAGGAAGAAAAGCGTTCGTATGATGAGGGTCTGAGTCTTTGGATTGAGATTTAGTGGGAGATTGATGTCTGTGGATGCTCCTATTGATGTGATTTTCGCGGTAACCGTTTTGGATGTGGGCATGTTTTAAACAAGAGAGCTCAGCGGGTCTATATGCATAATCGCAAAGGCGTATTGATCTGGAAACAAGGATTTATTATCTTAATTATGACTGAATGACTGAATTAGTTTGTGAAGGTGAATAATGAGAGTTGGCATGCAAGTAACGATTGGTATGGGTGGGTTTTCGATAAACAGAGTGACCAAAACCTTGGGATTTGTTTTTCTTTATGATAACATCGAGAAACGGTAGAAATGAATCAGTTTTCATCTCCACTGTGAACTGGATACTTGGATGTATACCATTCGGATGGGTTTGAAAATACATCAAAGCATCCCTGCCATGGGGCCAAATGACGAATGTATCGTCAACATATCATATCGTAGCCAACACGTGGGTTTGAGCATTGATGTGGATAGTGCTCGGGTCTCGAAGTCTTCCATAAAGATATTGGCAATTACTGGAGATAGTTAGGGAGTCCATTGGGGACCCATTTATTTGTCTGTAGAATTTATTTTGGAAGATGAAATAAGTGTTGGACATACAATGTTTAATAAGACATAAAATGATGGTCTAGCTGGATACTGTATTTAATTTCCAGAATGTTTCGTCTATAGGAATATTTGTAAAGAGTGAAACGATATCGAAAGTTACTAGAATATCCGACAATGAGATAGGGTATTGTTTAAGAAGTTCGATGAAATGAAAAGAATTTTTACGAAGGATGAAGCAGTTTCGGCAAAAGGTTGTAAAGTTTTGGCCAAGTATTTGACTAATAGTTATGTAAGGCAGTCATATGTACTGACAAGAGACGTAGATAATATCCATATATTCCAGGAGGACTTTTCACGAGGAATTAGAGATTGTTTTATGTCAGCTGCAAGAGTGGTTTTATTGATAATGGCTTTTGTTGTTTTCTCCAGATAGGTTGTTGAGGATAGAAGGCTTTGAGTGTCTGAGAACTCTACGCAACGTCTTGTCTAGTTATTTCAACATCTTCGGAAGGTAAACTGGAGATCGGTTCTTCAGTTTGACAGATGATTTTCTCAATCGGAATGTGAATTGGGGTAATAGAGTAATTGAAACCTTTTGCTAAAGCTTGAGTGGCAATGGTCGAACTAGGGTTATCAGAAAAGTTATGAACCACTGTAGTGGGTTTCGGAGTTTCAGTGTTAGATTCGAAAGTGTTTAGGGCTGTCTGTGTGTTGATACGGTCGAAACTGTCCCATAATATAGGATGTACATTGAAAAAATGAATAGATGACCAGATATTGAAAATATTGATATTTGTGGCATCTAGTTTTCGTCTAGTGGAATGAATAGATTCACGGAGAAGCGCAAAACTTATCTTTCTAAGAATTTGGGAGATTGAACATGAAGAAGTATGGTGTTTGGGTTTTATAAATTTGGGAATGACTTTATGGTCTCGGCAGGCTTTAAGGAATGTTAAATCATAAAGAAGACGATTCTTACACAGCAGCAGATTGCTATATGATTTAGTGAGCTGGTAAAATTCCTCCTCGTATAGGCGAATAAAATATTCCGAAAGATTTCCGCGGTTAGTATTTCCTTAGATTCCTTTTCTACAATCTAATGTTGGTCTTCCCCTGCATTTATTCCATGGAACAAAGTTTAAGGTCTGTTTTGGCCATCGTTTGGCAGCATTACATGCCCGTATCATAAAAGTTCTGTGTTTTAATTCAATTAACGGTAATTAATTTTTCAAGAAAAATTTCATGCATGTATATGCATGTTTTTATATCATACTAATTTTTTTCTTAATAACATGATATATGGTTGTTTGAGAAAAAATGGTCGCAAATTAGGGTTGAAAGCTGTTAAAATCGCGAGATATAAAAGATAAAGTAAAATACAGTAAGCGCACGACACTGGTTTGACAAGGATGGCGAGTGTCAGATTAATCTATCAAAGTTTTAAAACTCATTATACTGTTATTACTTTGACAAATCGACAGTACAGGTATGCTAAAAATTTTTCGGATTGTGTGTATACCTTCGGCATGACTTCTTAATTTTGAATGACTTTAAACTAGACGATGTGAAAATATGTTTTTAACTAGGTATATTTGTTCTAGCAAATAAATACAAGATATTTATTTACAATAATAATTAATAAACTTACTTCTAGAAAAAAGTAGTTCTTCAAACTACCACAACTTCTGATATTTGAAAGATTCAAGGTAACAGAACTGTTTCCATCCTTCTTGTATAAGCACAACGTTTTATCCGTCAGGCATAGTCGATAATTACCAGTTCTTCCCGTTCCCAGACCTCGATTTAAGATGACAACTTGCCATACGTGTTCTGAAAAATAAAAGAAACACACATTAATTGTAAGAACTTTAAATTCAAAGCTGTACTACATACATAAACAATACTAAGTAAATATATCAATGCGAGATTGTTTTCTCTAATATTGATTCAACCATTACATTAAAAAAATCTTTTGGATTGAGTTTATGGTGATATATCTCCTCATTTCTTTTAAAAAATGAGTACTTAAAATAGTAAAACATTTTCTTTTCTGGATGTGTTACACAAAAGAAGATATAGGATATGCAAGAAAACCAACCCTTCATTCACACCAACATTCAGACTTTCAAAAACGTCAACACGACGTGCTTTTTTTTAGTTTCAACTTTATTTGTGATCGAACATTCTCAATTCTCCTAAGTGTGTTTGCAACAAAGTTGGGCCTTATTTGAATTTATTTGTCGAATCTTGACATTCGCTTTTTTGTCATCCGTTTTTGTTTTAAGAATACAGAAGGCTAAGTAAGGAACACATAGTTACTATAACCTCTAAATTAAATGTTTATAGTTAAGCATCCAAAAGATGTTGAAGCAATAATTTGATATCAAGGAATTCGAATATCTACCGGATATGCTCCAAATGATTGCTATTAATTTTCTATTTAAAAAAACTTTAATGGAATGTAAAAGTTAATATAATTTTACGGGTCAAATTTTAACGACATTTTGTATACTAGACCCAGAAATTATGGCCGCTACCTCGTAAATAATGTAGAAAACCAAGAATCGTTATACATTTAATCTCACCACTTTTTTTTTATAAATTTCAATAAATTCGACTATTTACTTAACAGTGGTTACTTTAAATTCATTAATTCTAATCCCATATGGCTATCAATCCATCGACAACATTCTTTCTGGATGTTCTAGTAGGTCAAGAATGTAGAAGTCCGCACATTCTTTTATGTAAAAAATGGTTGTTTAAAACGGATTTATGATTTAAAGAGCATATGTTATGCGGATGTTGTTTATGCGTTTTGTTAGAATTCGAACAGTGTCATGGTAAAATTAGAGAGGATATTATTTTCTATCAATTTATTTCCAGCAGATGTATAATGTGTAGCGAATTGCGAATAAATAATTATTACACGAGATTACGAAGAAATAATCTATTTCTTCGTAATCTCTTGCATCGAGTGTCATTCGTAATCACTCAATTTATTCACACACTTTGATACAGGTATCTAACAATTGCTTTTATAAATTTGACGATAAAAATATGTAATGAAAAAACTATGCAAAAGACTAAATGACATTTTTTATTTATAAACAATACAAAAACAATGTAAGATCGCTATTTTATTTTAAATACTAAAGACCAGTAAATTATATGGAAAAGTGACACAATTTTACTGAAAAAGCATAGAAAATCTTTTAAAATGAGGGTTCCTTAGTTATTTTTGTTGATTTGTTGCTTAATTATTGCAAAAAAGGTTCAAAATATAGCTTGATTTTTTGAAAATTATTAATAACTTTTAAATGCACAAAAAAAGTTTTAGTTTAGTGGAGAACTATTAAGGTTAAATTCGTTTAGCAAATTCCCAACTGTAAACAAAGGCACATGTTGATATTCGCCCTCTCTTTCGTCAAGAGGCTATTAAATATAATTGATTGCCTTAAGCCAGACGGATTCTCATTTTACAGGTCCAAACTGGGACGAATGGAAAGAAATAGTAAAATCCTGGCTTGAAATCAAAGCTCTAGCGAGAAATAAGAGTTCGCTGGAGACACTTCATGGAAGTCCTATGTTTTTCTTGTGTGACTTTTTTCACCATATTTAAAATTTGAATAAATATACAATCACGGAAAAAACCACTGAAAGATAACTGCCTAAAGATGTGAAAAGAACTTCTTTATCTCAGCAGCGTTTTAACCTTGCGTGACAACAATTAAGAAGCAAATAGATAAGTAGTTTTCCAATCAAAAATAAAAAGTAAAATTATAGTTCACTTCCTTCTGCTACGTTGACCTCACAAGCAATGTGAGCTATTTTTTATATAGAAAAACTTCGCAATAGTCTTCGCAATCGAGACAGAGAAATAAATAAAAAAATTTAAGGTAATTTACATATTTACATAACAAAATATGTGCTTACCGATATTGAGGAAATATAATAATAGCTGACTCTTATTGACAATAGCCGATTCTTATTTTAATCCCTTTTAAAACACCAACGAACGTAGAATTGGAAAAATTCTGGGGAATTTGTTTGAAGTATTAATTTTTTTCGTAACAAATTATACCCAGAAATTTTGTATTTTGTATACAAAAAAATATTTGTTGGCTACAATGTAAAGAAACTTTGAAAATAGCTGAAAGTTTCGCAACATAATGGTTATAAATATAACTTATAATGATTTCTAATGTAGAAAGGGGTAAAGAGTTCTTAACATTACCAATTTTTTTGTTTAAAAATTACTTATTCGAATGAAAAAGTTGATTTTTGTCGATAGGACATTTGGATCAAAAGATATCGAATTTTTACCGTCGATCTGATACAAATTTTTATTAAACATTGATTACTCGTGCGTAACTGGCATTCAAAATCGATGGTCGCTTCAAGCGTTGTTTCATTTCAATGTACACATTTTTGTTTAAAATTATCTCAGCTGTATTTTGCATGCAGTGGTAGGGAGAAAGACGCACAACATCAATATCATGTGTTTTATATCCACTGCATAACTTACTGAAGGCTTATTTAATTTTAAAATTTGTAGCAATTCAACTTTTACAGATTTGTATGGAAAACTACTGTTTCTATCCTGTTAGCCACTTAATGATATCCTATTTCTTCCAAGAAGTATTTGGTGGACGGTTAATTTGACGAGAATGAGAAATACCGTTATCCATTACCAAAACTAAACCTTTTGGTAATAGTTCTGCTGAAAATATTCTTCAAAACGATCACTGTTCATATCTTCACTAAACCACCAGTCTCAGGCGAACTGAAACTCACAGTTTCAGAGTTAAATCTGCGATTACAATCACCAAAGTTTTTGAACAACCAAAGAGTTTTAAATTAGTGACTTTCCCAGATTTGGCACCCAATGATTACCACTTGAAAAAGGCAGTGTTTCGCCCGAAAACATGCAATTGAGCTAAACATTAATCGTGAATCGTATAGAAAACTGTTGCGTAAGGACCTAAAATTTCACCCCTACAAATTGCAGATTGTCCAGAAATTAATGGAAAGAGGTGTCGAACAACGTGAGGATTTCGCTACGTGAATGCAAGTTCTTTAGGAGGATAACTTAGGACAGCATCTTCTAATGAGCGACGAAGCTCATTTCCATTTAGACAGAACTATTAATAAACAGAATTGCAGGTACTGGGCTCCTGGAAACCCACGAAATCTCCATTTCGTCCTTTACATTCTAAAAAAAGTCACAGTGTGGTGTGCCATTGGTCCGACTGGCATTATTGGGCCATATTTTTTCGAAGAGGCTGGTTGTACCATCACCGTTAATTATATTCATTCGTTGACATTATCCAAACTTTTTGGTTAGAGAACTACATTACGCTGTGTGGTGTCAGCAGGATGGTGCCACGGCATATACTGCCCATGCTTCAGTAGGGGCGTCAGAGGATAACTTAGGTCAGCATCTTCTAATGAGCGACGAAGCTCATTTCCATGGACGTATAAACATAGATGGACACAGCAATAAGATACCTTTAACACACAATGTTTTAAAGCTTCGATAGAATGTGATGCTTCCGCAATGAGCATAACCGTGCTTGAATTTTTACTCGCGGGTAATTATTCAGATTTTAAAAATTGGAAGTAGTAATAATGTATAAAAACACGTTCAAAGAATTAAAAAAAAAACGAGAGTTTAATTATTAACAAATCACGTCTTTATAGAAAAATTAAAATACAATTTTATTTGCTTTAAAATTAATACAATAAAATATAGTTTAATTCAAGTTAATTTTTAATAAGTATCAAAATAATGCTACAATAAAAAATCTTTATGTTTTCTCCTAAATTTGCTACCAAAATAGTTCGATCGTCAATATTATTTGGAAACCTACATAGAAAAATAAATGAGTTTTATTCATTTCACTAATTTATTTGCATCGATGAGAAATATTAAATTAAAAAGGTACTAAATAGATCTTTTTTAATCAGATGATGTCTACTTACAATTTAAAAATGTCTACTAATTTCATGAACTTATATCTTATTTAATACATTAATGAACATAAATAAACCCAATGGTACGCCTATTAAAATGTAAACAAACACGCTTCCTCATTTCCTCATCTTAAATAATCTAAATGTTATGTACTTACAAATGAAATGAGAGATCGGGATGTAAATATTTCGTTTATTTTATTTCACTTTTTACAAATATCACTCAAAATACAGCCAAAATATCGAAAAACAACTTTTACTAAAAAGTAAACAAACATGGAACAGCATTTGAAGTTTGACGTAGATCCATAAGACAGAGAAATGTAAACAACCGTTGCCATTTATAAATAGTTTTCAGTGCTTCTACATATAAAATAATGGATTGATATCTAAATTATACGTTATTATTAAATGATAATGCACACTATGTGCACACTTTATATTTTGATTACAATTAAATATATTAATCTAACCATTAAATTATTATTTTGGTTTGATAGCACCTGTAGAGTATCAAATACGGAGTAATATTTTCAGCGACTCGAGAATAAGAAATTTTAAAACAAAACGTGACAACAGTTAAAGGTGCTGAGAATGTGACCTATTCAAATAATTTTGACTTCACAATTTTATGTAAATAACTGAGTCTATCTGTGTTTATACGTCCATGCTCATTTCCATTTAGACATAACTATTAATAAACAGAATTGCAGGTACTGGGCTCCTGGAAAATCTCCATTTCGTCCTTTACATTCTAAACAAAGTCACAGTGTGGTGTGCCATTGGTCCGACTGGCATAATTGGGCCATATTTTTTCGAAGAGGCTGGCTGTACCATCACCGTTAATTATATTTATT